TTTTTTTACAGAAGCAGCTTTTAGCTGCTAAGGACTGGAGCATGGGACTTCTAGTTAACAGGACAAGAGTATAAGTCACACAGAATACTCTATCCACATTGCAACAGCACTTTTCACCCGTCTTCAGACTAGAATCCCTTCATATATATAGATCTATGTATTTATAGAAGCTACTCAACATATTGAACACTGTTCAGACTACTTTCCTTAAAGCCTCCCGTCCTTCCTTTCTACACCTTCCCACTCTACTTTCATTTTCTGGATGAAAAACAAGCTTACTCAGAAAAAGGAACATGTATTAACAGACTGGGTAGTACCGCCTGCTGTTTTATTAAAATGGGGTAAAGCCCTTAACTGTGTCATTCACCTGAAAGGGCCAGACACAGCTGGCAAACATTCCACCCCCATAAAGTACCAAAACTATTTTCCACATCTCTTACCACCAAAGAGCAGAATGGGCCACATCACCAAACCTCTACTTGATACGCACTTTTTTTGGACATGCTCAGCCAGCTGTGATACAGGGATGATGTTAACACCAGCAGGAAGGAAGGAGGAATAACAAGAGTCACCTAAAGTAACCCAATTCAGCATCCCCAGGACTCAGGGGGTGCAGAACAGTGCCCTGGTTCCTCGCCATCACTAGAAATGCAGAGACTATCCAGTGAGCTATCGGCCTCTCTTTCCTAGAGGCTCAAAGGGTAACCCTAACACAAAAGGAGAACACCATGTATGTTTTTAGTAAAGTGCCGGTTTGAAGTCTAGTTTGAAAATAGATGAGCAACAAGAATAGAAGGAACCCCGAACTATGTACTTGGTATATGTGTTGAGCGTACTTTTTCCACTGGGAAAAAATGCATCTCATTGCCAATTTAAAGCTCCTTTAGGAAAAGACTTCTCAGGTTTGATTCGCATCTCATTTTGCTGGAGATGCACCGGTCAACATTAAAAAGAAGATAATGCACATTTCAGAAAGAGTTCTCTTACTCAGAGACTAAAAATGGTTTAGTTCCCCAGGAAACAGGTCATGCATCACAACATTACAGCATCACAGTAAAGGGTTTGATCTCCCTGCACATAATCTGCACTTCCAATGAGTACACTTGTTTAAAGCTTCTAAACATAAACGGGTTTTAAGCTGCAGTTCCCTTAAAATCCCTTGACACACAAGGAGCATCCTTTGCTCTAATGATCATGCTCAAAATTTCATGGCTTACAAGCAAAATATTTTAGCTGACCATTTCCATACTCAAAATACTTCAATAAAACACCCACACAGTGACAAGAATGAGACTTTAATCAGTTTTAAGTGGAGTTTTAACACTAAGAGATAAAGGGTTGTTAAACACAATAACAAACGGACATCTGATTTGTATGAGGCATTATCCTGTACATGTCATACTTGGTTTTTGTGTATTCTCAGTGCATAGCATTACACACAGAGCCACTGTTGCACAGCACAATAGTATTTGAAGAGGCTGAATCAGAGTAAGGCTGCTTAACAGACTGATTTTTTTTTTCTTTTAGTATATCTATATATATGCTATATGAAAACAGACTGAAAATTTGAACTGGCAGAGAAAGGCAGCTCTGCCAAACACTGCAGTTGGAGCCCCTTTTAGTGCACAGTTCCACCCCATCCATCTGCATGCATGACACTTTCTAACAGTATTTAAAAGGTAAACGAGGCACTTCGTGGCAACCACAGGCATCGTTAACATATTGCACACATTTGCTATGACTAAACATGGAACCTGCACACTAGCATCTTATTTTTTTAATTTTTTTCTTTTTTTTTTTTTGAAAGCTGAAACATTTGATGCTGCATGTAAACTCCACTTCAGTTTACAATGTGTGCCACAGGAACAAATCTGGATGCTATTTATACAACTGCCCTTTAATAGCTGTGGCAAATGTTTTGAGTGGGGCTACCAATGACTAGGGGATGCTTCAGGGCCTAACAGTAAGCTCTTACCAAAGTGATGCCTTCAAGTAGTTTCAGACATGTAAGCTGCTGTACATCCAAAAAGGTTTAAGCATACAGTCCGGAAACTCAAGGAAAGATTACCTACAGAATGCAGTTCAAGCTAATTATGAATACTGTCATAAATAAAGTTTTAATAACGACTCAAAAACCTTTCAGTCATAGTAATTCTTGTCAACTTCTATGGGGGTGGTAACTGAAATAAAGTATAGGAGAGTATGTATAATATATATTTATATATATAAAATATATAATGCCATTTTTCCATTTCCAATGACTACACCATAAAATGTAAGCAAGGCTTCTCAAAGACATCGAAACATTCAAAAAAATCAAAACCCTCATTCCAACCTTCACATTCCAAAGGAAAAATAACAGTGCAAAAGCCCATCGCGTCATGATTTCCAATCAGGCCCTCAGCGTTACATACCGGAACCGCACCAATCCAATTTTTATTATCCAAAGTGGGACACGCAGCAGTGTCAATTTCCAAATACTTTCAAAGCATGAACATTTTTGTTTATTAGCCAACACAACTTTCAACTGTTAAAAAACAGACAAGGTGAAACATGATTCGAAGGGTAAGACTTAAACCTCACGTCCCAAGGTAACCACCTCCTGCTCGTCAATAACAGTGGGAATAATGAGCACTGGAACCAGCAATCTTGATCCATTAAGCTATTAATGTCTAATTAAACCTATAAGTCAGAAAATATTTATCAGCTTTGTTAGAAGTTAGAATCATGAATCTGATGAGCAAAACTGACCAACAGATACCGAAAAAAAAAAGCACTTTATACCTTCGTTTACCAATAGTAATTACTGGAAGTCCTGCATTGTCTCATTCAAATTGTTACCATTAATGCTGCTGTACAGGGCCCTTACAGATTCCATATCCAGTTGTTATCTAGGCGAGACCACAGCTAATGAACTTCAATGTCAGCACCAATAAGTTAATTAAAAGGAGGGGGGGGTGTATTATATCCTAAAAAAAGTGTCAATTTGGGGACAGCTGTTCATGGCATACTTTAGAGAGAACAATTTTGTCAGCTACTTCACATTTGTATGCAACAGTAGTTGTACTCTTAAATCATCTGCAGTCTGGGCATGTCAATTATGTACCAAAAATGGATCTCAAGCCCTACTCCTGGCTATATCCCTATGAACAAATAATACAACACTGCCAGTTTAGAAATCTAATTTGTTGGGTGGTTTGGTTTTTGTTTTTTTTTTTTTTTTTAATAGCAAACAATATATTTGGGACAAGCTCTGCTTTTTAAAAGTACACATCTTCATATAGACACGGTGTTGAGAATTTACTGCAACACTGGTTTCCTCTATATCATGACATGTGTAATGTCTGTTTTTAAAACATCGTAGGTACTGAGTATTCAAGTAAAATTCCCTAACAGTTAATGAAATTTTTAAAAACAGTGTGCAAAACTGCAAAACTCATTGTAATAGAATGTGTAAGGTCAAAGGGGTGGAATGGCTGACAGAGGTTTGATTGAATAAATGCATCATAAATCCTCAAAACAAACACTAACCTGGAGAATCTCCAATTGAAATTTCCTGTGCACCATTACAAAATATTTTTATATTAATGAGAAAAAAAGCTTGCAAGGCAGCACATGACGTAT